GGGGAACGGGTGGGGGTTCACCCCATGGCATCAGAAAACACCCCCCAGGCCTCACTGGGCATCACTGAACAATCTGTGGGACACCCCAGATGACCAGAAGCACGGCCCAGTAGCTCCCAGTATGGCCCAGTGTCCCCCCGGATAGTTCAGTGATACCCAAATCGGCCCAGCACCTTCCTCAGTGGCCCCCAGTATGGCCCAGTGACCCCACTTCACAGTCCAGCACCTCCCAGGATGGACCAAGAATAGCCCAGTAGCCACCAGCATGACCAGTATAGCCCGAGTGACCATGAACACGTCCCCAGCACGGCCCAGTGACCCCCAGTACGGCTCGGTGACCCCCCAGTATAGCCCAGTGACCCCACTTCACAGTCCAGCACCTCCCAGGATGGACCAAGAACAGCCCAGTAGCCACCAGCATGACCAGTATAGCCCGAGTGACCATGAACACGTCCCCAGCACGGCCCAGTAGCCCCAGTACACAACCAGCACAGCCTGGTGCCCCCCAGTATCGAATCGGCACCATGCAGTGACCCCCAGCACGACCCAGGGCTCCCCAGTCCCCTCAGTTCGACCCCAGTGCCCCCGTGGGCGTGGCTTCTAGGGGGCGTGTCCCCCAGAGAGGGCGTGGCCTCAGGGCCCGCCAGCCAATGAGCGCGAGGGGGCGGTACCTGTCAGGCCCATGTACAGCGGTTGCCGGGCGCGGAAGTGCCGCAGCGCCGCCCCGGAGCAGTTCTGCCGCTCGCAACGGCTCAGGCACTCCCGGTACAGCGGTTCCCGATCCCCCTGCGAGCCCCGGGCCGGGCCCGGCGCCGCCGCCGCCATGAGAAGCAGCAGCAGCAGCGCGGCCCGCGCCGCCATCGCCGCCCGGCCCGGCCGCTTCCGGCCCGCCCCGGAAATGGGGGTGGCGCGGGGCACTATGGGATATACCGCCCCCCGCCGGCCGCGGGAGCTGATGGGATGTARTCCCCCGAGTGGGAGAATCATGGGATATATCACCCCTTGTTCTGTCCGCAGAGGCTCATGGGATATACCCCCCTATGTTACGCTCTGCGGAGGCTTATGGGATATATCCCCCCAATGGGGCTTGGGGGTTCCGGGGGTCGCGGGGACCCCCGGTGTCCTGCGGGGCTCGGGACCAGTTCAGGGCCCGTGGGCAGCGCTGCCTCAAGAACTGAATAGCCCCGGCCAGGCGGGACCCCCGGCAGCGGCCGTGGCATGCGGTCCCCATGGCGGCCTGGCCTGAGGTGACTGTGATTTACTGTGTCCCCATTCCTGCCCCTATGGCAGGCGGGACCCCAGCACCGAGATCCTCCTCTCTGGGGACTCCTCCCTCGTGGCAGCCTCGGTGGCACATGTGGAAGCACCCCAAGGGTACCTGAGGGGCAGAACCCGTCCCGTGTGGGGGTCGCATCCTGGCCCCCCATCCCGGCTGCTCCGGGTGCCATGCCTGGCTCTGCCCKGCCGGGGGTGTCGCATGAAGTCCCCACGTGTGGGGGTCCCCACGTGTAGAGGAGCCCCCATCCCAATTCCCTGTGCGTGCCCAGAGCAGCAGGTGAAGGTGGAACAGGTGGGGGGACAGGTGCCAGCTCTGGGTCACCTCATCGGGGACTGTCCCTGTCACCCAGAACTGTCCCCAACCCCCTGCACCATTCCTGGGTGCCAGGTCTGCCCCTCCACCCCCATAACTGTACCCCCAGACCCACGAGTGACATTGCCATCCCTCCTCCCTCACATGGGTGGCAGTCAGGTGAGGGGACAGGGATGGAGGGTGTGACSCCCTCCCCCCAATTCATGCGACCCCCGGGATCGCAGCAGAACCCCGGGACAGGGGAGCTCCGGGGCTGGGGAGTCCTTGGTGCTYCCCGGGGAACGGGAACGGGGGACCCCGGGGTGGAAAGCCCCCGGTCCTCGGTGCTGGGGAGGGATGGGTTGGAGCGGGGTCCGGGATGGGGRTTCCGGTGCTCCGAGGGGATGGAAAGCGGGATCAGAGCCGGGGGACCCCGGTGTTCCCGGGGAGGGTACGGGGGGTGCTGGGGCGAGGGATGGGAAGGGAGAACGGGGGGTCCCCGGTGCTCCCGGGGGATGGATGGAGGTGATTCCCGGTGCTACGGGGGAGTGCGGGGCGGGAGGTGCGCGGTGTTTTTGGGGGGATGGACTCGGGGGAACCCGGAGCGGGGGGACCCCGGTTCTCCGAGAGTTTGGAGGGGATGGAGGAGTGCCCCGGTCCGGACCGGTGGGAGCGCGCGGGGGCGGCGGGAGCGCGCGGCGCGCCCTCGCCCGGGGCCGGGACCGGGATCGGGATCGCGAGGCGGAGCCCGGGAGCGGCGGGGAGGCGGCGGCTCCGGCTCCGCAAACTTTCCCGGAGCGGCGGCGGGGCCATGGGCCGCGGCCCGCGCTGAGCACCATGATCGCGGCCGGGGGCTGCCTCGGCGYCGGGCTGCTGCTGCTGCTGCTGCTGCTGGCCGCCCTCTGCCCCCCCGCCGCCGCTGAAGGTGGGTCCCACCGGGGAGCTCCGCGGGGACACCGGGGACACCGGGAATCGGGGGGACTCCGGGCCGCGGGAGCGTCCCCCGCGCCGCGACTTCGCGCAAAGTTTTGTACGGGACCGAGCGGGACCGGGGGGGCA